GGTGAACAGCCAATAGGCGCTCACTGTCTTTTACAGATAAGCTGGGTGAGAACGATTGCAATGCTAATTCTAGATCGGATTGAATTTTGCATTGCACATAAAGGCGACAAGCGCATGGGGACAGTTGACGAAAAGAACGCAGTAGAGCACCAATTTTCCGTGACACCTTGGCAACAAGCTTATCCCAATGAGGTGTGAACGAGAGCTTGTTGTAAATTACAACTCCCAGACAGCGAGCACTGGACGCTTCTGTCATCAGTTTACCACTGATACATATAGTGGGTGTGGGACAGACCGGCGAGCGCTTGGGAACGATCACCATTACAACAGTCTTATTCTCATTGATAGTCAGGCCAAGTTGCTGAAGTAGTGAGAGGTGATAACGTGTGTGGGAAACTAAATCTGCAGCCTCCTTTGCCGTCGGACAGGATGCGTGCACCGTTTTGTCGTCCGCAAAAGCGAGCAATTTCGTCCCGTCAGCAGTTGGAGGAAGGCGGCGAACATAGATGTTCAACAGAGTTGAGCCCAACACCCAGCCTTGCGGGACCCCATGAGTGACAGGTAGAAATGGAGAGACCTCACCGAACCTGAGGACCCGCTGGGCTCTGCCAGAAAGGTATGATTTAAACCATGAGAGTGCTGATCCGCTGATACCAATCTCGTGCAAAGCCAAGAGTAGCTGCTGATGCTGCACACGATCGATTGCTTTACTAAGGTGACCAAACGTGACAGCAGAGGTCAGGCTCTGGTCCTGAGCAAGACACCAGCCAGTAATTGCCAGAGAGAGCAGTTGATGGACAGAGCGATTTGGGCGGAACCCAAATTGGTGGTCATGTAGGAATGCAGTCGAGTCCAGGTGACAGAATAGTTGCGACATTACCACGGATTCCAACACTTTGGATAGAATCGATGTCAGCGAAACTGGGCGGTAGCTCGTTGCGTTGTAGACGTCGATCTGAGCGGATTTTGGGATCGGGGTGATGTTGGCTCGCTTAAAGGCAGAAGGAACGCTCCACTGCTAAGAGATACGCTGAAGATTTGTGCCAAAGAAGGCGCCAAGGGGGATGCCATGGCCTTGAGGAAATCAGGCGGAAGGCCATCTGAACCCGGTGCCTTGCACGGTTTTAGGGAGTGAAGAGCACGCTCTACCTCTGTAGTGCTGACCCGATCGAAAGAGGTCAATGCATCTTCAAGGACAGGTCCAGATGGCAGGTCGTGCGTGTTTATGGGGTCGTGGACTATAGCATGGAAGTGGTCATTCAGGTTAGGTGCAAGAATAGGAGACGACTTTGGTTTACGCTTTTTCACATAGTTGATTGTAGCCCGTAAGCGACGTGGAGATTTTCTGTATTCGGCACGAATTCTCTGATAGTGCTGGTTCCGCAGACGACGATTGAGATTGTTACATTGGGTGCGAAGGCGCGGAAAGCTGTTTTAAAGCTTGGTGTCTGTGGAACCTCCCTTGCGCAATGTGCGAAAGGCCGCTCTGCGCCTCCGAATTAGTGCTTGTAGCTCTGATGTAACAAAGGGGCACTTTCGACAGGAAGCATGTCGGTAATGCTTAGACGGTTTGTATGGCGCCACCAATTCCAGCACTGAGTCGACTTTACTTGTCCATTCATCAACCATACTGTTCACGCTGAAAGAGAGAGAGAAATTCCAAAGGTTTGCGGACTCTAAAAGGGTCTCCAAGCGCTTGATATTGGTGTTGGAAAAGTCCCGACTGGGCAGGCGCTGGTTGCAGTCAGTTCGGAAAGTGTAGGGGTCTGGGGTGGTCAAGGTTGCACATACCAAACAGTGATCGGAATGCTCAAAGTCATGAACAAAACCGCCTAAGACAGCATCTGTATTACTTAGAATGTAGTCAATTGACGATGACGACTTGGGACAAACACGAGTTGGGTCGTGAATACAGTTTAGAAAGTTAAAGGGCAAAAGAAAGTAGGTAGAGTAGAGCTGGGATGTAGGTTGGAGAGAATTCACGTTCGGGTCACCCATGAGCACCAACGAGTTACCCTGGAGTTCTGTCACTTTCTTAAAGTGTCAGTTCCTGCGCCAGTTCCTGCGCCAGTGTCAGCCAGAGAATTTCAAAATTATTTGAGCTTCGTAGCAAGTGCCGGGTAAAGCCAAGTTTAGCGCTGGTGTACACACAGACGCCTCCCGCCTTGCGGCAGAGGACTGAAAGACCACTCAGGCAAGGGTCGCTGCGTGGACACTCTTGGTCGCGCCGGAACAGCGTGTACCCGTCAATAGCTAGTTCTGAGTGAGCAACTGTATTGTCAACTGCCAGGTTCCAGTAATAGCGAGAACATCCAGGAATGGTCGTAGATGAGGGATTGAATTTCATGGATTTTATTTCTGAGGTTACGCACATTTAAATGACCGATATTGATGTTTGAAACTCGGGTATTGAGCCAATAATAAAAGTAGAAAGGAAAAGGGCATATACCCCCTCTTTAGTCTTTCCATAACCTTGAACCTTCCAAGTTGGAAGGCTGTCGGTTAGCGCTACGGAGATGTGTTGAAGCTAGGTGTCAGGACGTCGAATCTCTCAGTACTCTGTCAGTTTCGTGCCTAGTTGTTGCACTTTCTGACTGTATATAGTATCTAGTTACAGTGGTGGAGAGCTAATCTTAACTCGTTTCCATATATCCTTTTCCTTTCTACTGATATTGATGTTATGATTAGTATGATGACTGGGTAGAGATATTGCTGATGGAGGATGTGATCTGGGGGTGAACGGTGGTGCGAGTGGATTTAGAGGAGACATGTTTACTGATTGGAACCGTGGGCGACTCGATCAGTCTCCCAATACCACTTCCGCACCGTGAAATCCTCGGGCCAGAACTCCTTGTCCAACACTTTTGCCGTGTACGTTTCAGGGACCACCAGGTGTGCGTACGAAATTCCGAAGTACTTTGTTGCATAAATGGAGCACTTGATGACTTCCACTCGCTTCTTCTGGCACCATTTCGCGATAGCGTCAGTTGAGCAGCTGGGATCAATGTTTTCCACATGGATTGCACTGCACTTTACACGGCGACCTGCAATGAGACAGTCAAAAGTGCCAGAGGGTTGTTTGGGCGGCTTGTGGTAATACGATACCAGTCTGGTTTCTGTTGGACTGGCTGGGCTGGGCTAGGGCTTGTACGAAGTTGTTGTACACTAGAGCTAGAGGGAGGTCCGGAGGATTGCAGGGTAGCAGCATAAGATTGGGCAACGTAGCCCGTGCTCGTCCCCGTTTCATCAAGTGGGAAACGGGGACGGCTAGCTTTTTAGGACGGCTAGCTCGGTTTGTACGGCAACAAGATCAACCCCCAGCTCCCGTACGTATTTTTTCAAGTCCACGACTTCTCGATTCGTTTCATGGAATTTGTCCTCCATTCCCTTCATGGCGGTTATTTCCGCCTTCAACTCCCTTACTACATCTGTGAAGTCTGACAGGGCTGAGCACAGGCTCGCAACAGCATGATCGCTACCAGAGAGACTTACACCATTGTAGGTGGTGTCCGGCGATGCCCTCAGTGCAGCAATAAGTTCGGTCCTCGTGGCTTTCCGCGGGACGTCCAGACCAAGGTGTCGGATGAGGTCCCTCAGCTCCTCAGTCGATCAAGATAGCAATGTCCACTTTGTCAGTGGACTTCTCAGCCATACTGCATTCAAGGCAAAAAGTATTCCGAGCGCCAAAGGCCCAGGGAATCACGAAAAAGGGTGGGGGTACTCCAAAAAAGGCTACCGCTCTCCTTTGCGAGGGGGGCCGGGTATCAACTAAACGACCATAAAGTAAACCGAGAATTTTGTACCTTTCTAACGCCATGATTCGCCAAAGACCTATGAGTCCCTTTGGAAATCCTCGTTTCGGTATACTGTTTAATGTCAGATTCAGCTCTGAAGCATTTTGTAACATATTCAAGCCAGAATATATTTCATGCTTCGGCGGTCAGTTATTTTTCTGCAATATCAAACAATGTTTCTTCAGAATTCCCAAACTCCATTGCAGCGTATTTCTTGCATTTGAAAACACCGACATTCCGGCAACAGGCTCTCAGCTGCACCAAATAAATAACTTTGCCAATATTTCGCCCATTGGGCATCATCAGGGCATTGAGGAAGGGGAGGCAAAAATCACGAAATTTAAGACGAATAATGCAGGCAGATGAAGGTTCTAGAACTAACACATCGTGGTGACACAATTGGCAAGGCCAGCAAACTAAACAATCATCACTTGTCAGGTGACCTAAACAGAACGAAAGATGAGAAAACTCACACATACACACCGACACAATTTGGCAAGAAGGCAAGAAAACTAACACTAACACTAACGTTTACAATCATCACCTGTAAGGTGACCTAAACAGAAGAAAGAAGACTAGTAAGACTATCACAGCACGTACAAGAACACTTTCAAGTGTGGGAATGCTAAAGGCGATCTATGTATATGACAGCGGTGTATGTGCAAAGTATGTGTATGTGCTGTGTCAGGTGGTAAAGTCCAGTGGTAGTTTGAGGAGATGGGCGTCGATTCCAGTGACGACCCGGTGACATCCACTCAGTCGATTAGGCGCCAGCCATCATCGCATTTGACTGCTGGTTTGCGCTTCCTTATCTCGATAGCTTCAAGCAGTTTCCTTGATGATAGCGAAGCCTCCCTGCTGAGAATCTCTGCCTGATGGAAGGGCAGAAGTTGGGAAGACTTTGAAGATTCTCGATGCTGAAAATAATGTGTCGTTAGAAATTGCGTTTTCTTAGCTTCGCAACAAACCTCATGCTTGACATAAAAGATAAATGACGGAGACTATATTAACAGTGGTGTATGTGAACTGTGCAACCTAACCCAGTTGCATATGGATCATGTTGTGGTTAGGAGTCTTGGCTATTTCTGAAAACAACATCATGATTCGGCCTTACAGATTAGAACTACTATATCCTACACTCGGTATTTTGTGCACTACCCGGAACTAAGCAACAACAACATTGTCCTTGTGATTTGTCGTTTGTAGATATTTGTACAATAATCAGATCCAGACTTTAAGTGGTGGTGTGTTCTCTGGTCTAATCAACCTCGAAAGACTGTAAGTATTATCAACTGCACCACTGAACGCAGGGAACAGTTGCATAACTGTGTGTATATAGAGTACCGTTTAAGGTGGCTCCTACCCCTCGGGTCCAAATTATTTTGGTTTGAAACGTGGCTACAGACGATTGTACTTTGTTCCGTAGGATGTCTAGTGTACGGAGACAACATTTTATCAAGTTCTACTGGGCCGGTTTCACTCGGGGGAGGCGCCAAACACAGCATACTCACAATAGCCAATTTAAGCCAAAAAATACCGGAAAACCACTTTTTGGCCGTAGCTACGCATCACGGCAACAAATAATGCAGAAAGTTACTCGATGATGACGAAACTAGTAAGACTATTGGACAGACCGGCCTTACTACAACTCGGCGACGCAAAGCAACAGACCACCCAACTTGGGAGGCTCAAATTCATTTAAGAGAGCATGTCTGAGAAAACCAGAACATATGTGCAAGTTGATCTCTCAGATTTCGCTCAAATTTTGCAGGTAGGTTTGCTTTGGGGTGTAGATCGACATTCCAAAGCCCGCGCAAAATCTTTTGAAGGGAACCATGAAATTGGCATACCCCTCAATATTGGCCCAATATTGGCACGATTTATGGGTCTACAAACGAGCCATGGCACAGCGTACAAGAACAAGCTACGAACAAAACTCCATCAAGCCAACATTACCTCACCTTAGGAGAGTTCTTGGGGCAGCATCAATTAGCCACGCCAGCATCCCAGAAGACGAGGGCAATCATCCCTTGACGCCACAGATGATCGTCTTGAAAATAGCCAAATTACAAGCGCTGATAAAACAGCGAGCTACGTCCTCAATTAGCAAACACTATACACCGGCAGATAGTACAACACCTCTTCTAGCACAGAGGACATGTCCCCATCATCCTTTTTGGGTTTTCTTGAAAAAACCAATTTTGAATTTTTCCACTCGACCATTCTGAAATACGTCCAAACTCATACCTGCGCAGGAAAGCTCGCCCCTCCGCGACGTCTAGCCAGCAATTTCTACTCCAACACCACTCCCAACGCTGCAGAACAAAGTGTATTGTTGACTCTGACAAGGAAAAGCAGCGGTGATCACTTGTCACACCAAACGACAAGCTCCTTGCGCCAGCAACATTTTTTGGTGCAACAGTTGATGCAAAAGTGACTGAATTTTTGCGTGTAGTTTTTGGATTTTACTGCAAGAGAAATGATGAAATCACGTGCGTCGTGACACAAGAATACCAGGTCTTGTAGATCACGGTTCAGCAGTTGTTCCGAGTCACCTTGATCAAGCGCACCTGCACTTACATGGATCAGCCGTTGATCTAGATCGGATCAAGTGCATCTTTATGTCCAGCTCAAGCGCACGCATGTCGTGTTGTAGGCCTTCCAGCCGGGACTTTCCCTCAACATGCAGCACAGAGACTAGGGCGAGGAGGGTCAAATTACGTTGTTTATGACGTAAGAAATCTGCCATGTGGACGCGCCACATACCCCATGCAACCAGTGTAGGCCGCGCGCTGGTCAACTCCACGCGACCTTGATGGTATGGACCACGGTCATTCCTTGCTGTTGCAGATCTACGTGGATCATCAGCATGTAAACTAGCCGCAGTTCCCGTTGAACCATGTTCGGGATGAGCGAGGTTAGTGTGAAAAAATGCATCCCTGTTCTTACTGCAAGAGGAAATATCTCAAAGAATTCTTGCCAATGCAATACTGCTAGCGCTATAACGATAGTTTCTGCATGTTCTGATCAGAGCATGCAAGAAATATAATGCATCTTACCTCCTCCCTCATGGTCCGTTTCGAATAGCACCTCAGGAACGATCGTGATCGTGTGCATTGTGTCGTGCACCAGAAAGCATTGTTCTACGTCACGATCCACGTGATTTCTTCATTCCTCTTGCAGTAAAATCTAAAAACTACACGCAAAAATTTAGTCACTTTTGCATCAACTGTTGCACCAAAAAATGTTGCTGGCGCAAGGAGAAGCTTGTCGTTTGGAGTGACAAGTGATCACCGCTGCTTTTTCTTGTCAGAGTCAACAATACACTTTGTTCTGCAGCGTTGGGAGTGGTGTTGGAGTAGAAATTGCTGACTAGACGTCGCGGAGGGCGAGCTTTCCTGCGCAGGTATGAGTTTGGACGTATTTCAGAATGGTCGAGTGGAAAAATTCAAAATTGTTTATTTCAAGAAAACCCAAAAAGGATGATGGGGGACATGTCCTCTGTGCTAGAAGAGGTGTTCTACTATCTGCCGGTGTATAGTGTTTGCTAATTGAGGACGTAGCTCGCTGTTTTATCAGCGCTTGTAATTTGGCTATTTTCAAGACGATCATTTGTGGCGTCAAGGGATGATTGCCCTCGTCTTCTGGGATGCTGGCGTGGCTAATTGATGCTGCCCCAAGAACTCTTCTAAGGTGAGGTAATGTTGGCTTGATGGAGTTTTGTTCGTAGCTTGTTCTTGTACGCTGTGCCGTGGCTCGTTTGTAGACCCATAAATCGTGCCAATATTGGGCCAATATTGAGGGGTATGCCAATTTCATGGTTCCCTTCAAAAGATTTTGCGCGGGCTTTGGAATGTCGATCTACACCCCAAAGCAAACCTACCTGCAAAATTTGAGCGAAATCTGAGAGATCGACTTGCACATATGTTCTGGTTTTCTCAGACATGCTCTCTTAATAAACATAGAAGGGGAAGCTAAGCGAAGACGAATTGTGACAAACCGAAACGCCAACATCCTACTTTACTCCACTATCATGTATGATGGTGTGATGATATTGTACCTTTATATCCTTTAGTGCCGTTACATCCTATATCTATTGTTTCTCGTTTAGTCAATGTCACAGATGGTATCTGTGACAGGAGAAGGGGAATGGTGTGATGATATTGGAACTATATCATTTGGTGCCATTAAATATCCCTATACATATACATATACAGTAACTATAACCTTCACATCCTCATATTTACACCTGTCCATATATGACATTAGAATAGCATGCTGCGTACTACTTCCCGTACTACCGGTACCTTTTCTAGTACTCACATATTGTACAACTTTACACACCAAGATAAAATAACAAGAATGACAGCCCTTCAGGGTTAGTTGTCGGTTAGCCGGACAAGAGTGGGTTGTTGGTGTGTCCTCCCCTAGGCCCTTCACATGGTGTCAGAAGTGGTCCAGTCACTGTGTGTCAGTACTGCGTACCTCCGTCGTTGCTGAAAGTTTGCGTATTTTTATTTCTAGTTTTTCGTTTTTTCGAGTTCGTGGGGCCGCAAGTGAGCTAGCCATGGATCTCGAGTCGTTGGCGTTTGCTCGCCACGAGCAGTTGAGGGACATCTGTCGGGGGCTGCATCTCCCCACCGGTGGTGCACGCTCTGATCTTGTGCGGCGGATCCTCTCCGTATCGCACAGCAGTGCGCGGATGGATCGGGAGATCGACACTGAGTTCGAGGAGGTGGCCCCGGATGATGACGAGCTCACTGGCTTACCTGATGCTGCTACCAGGGCGACGCTCCCTTCTCCACCGATGGATTTGTTTCGTCCCGCACCGTCTCCGAAACCTCGCTTGCCGAAAGTAAGTGATAATCCTTATTTCGGCAACAGTATTGTGAGCAACAAATTAGATTACAACAGTGAGCAGTCCTTTGCAATGAACCAGTCGCAGTTTCAGGCCAATCAGGGTCCTGCTCCTACTAGTCCTAGTAGTACTTACCATACGCATGACGCACCTGCACTGGCTTCCGCTAGCCGTCGTACTCGTACTGGGCGTACACATAGCCATACTAAGGTTGCATGCTCTACTCCGGAGCCAAAAGCGGTCCCCGTCCACCGTCAGCCCGTACATGTCGCTTTTGGTGAGGATCCCGTGTATGGAGACCCTAGGCCTAGTAGTAGTACGCACGAACTGAGTGACCAGGCGCAGGCCAGCACTACTACTACTAGTCGTACACGTACACCCGCAGGTCCGCATGCCCCGCACATGCACATCGATCCTGCTGCTGAGAAACCTGAGCCTGAGCCTGAGCCTGAGGCTGAACACGAACAGCGTTCCGCCACCGATGTCGATGTCGATGTCGACTCGCCGTCCCAGCTGTCGATGCTCACGCAGTTGGTCACGCAAATGGCGCAAGTGCAACTCACTCAGGCCACACGGCGATTCTCTCAGAAGGTGCCACTGGCTAAACTGCGCCCTGGGGACGATGTTGAGGCATTCCTCACCAGTTTCTAACGATCCATGCGGGCGTACAGAGTTCCTCCGGACGATTAGGTCTATTTGCTAAGCCCCCAGCTGACTGACAAGGCCTTGTTGGCATACACGGAACTTGCCTCCACCGAGGCTGACAGCTACGACCGCGTGAAGGAGGCCATTCTCCATCGCTATGCCGTTACCCCCGAAACGAGCCGCCGTAAATTTCGGGGCACTACGCTGCAGAGCTCAGAGTCCATGATTGACTTCGCCGTCCGTGTCCGTGACACTGGCAGTCGTTGGCTAAGCCCCGCATCCTCGCACAAAGCCATATGTGAGTTGATCCTACTGGAACAGTTCTTGTCTGCGCTTCCTTTTGGTTTACGCACTTGGCTGCGGGAACGCAAACCGTCGTCCCTCGACCAGGCTGCTTCGCTAGCGCAGGACTATCTTGACGCACGGGATCGCGTACAGGAGCCCAGCAGTGGTCGTCTCAGCAGCGGCAGGGAACAGTCTCTTGTCTGCTACATTTGCCAGCAGCGTGGCCACATGGCCAGGGATTGTTCTAAGCGACGGGCACCATTGCCGAACACTGACGCACGTGCCCAGGTGCAGGGGTCATTTGCGTCACCCCGAGACCGGACGTCCGAGTCATCCAACCTTGCTCGAGTTCGCTGGGCTGCACCAACCTCAGGCTCAGCGCGGGACCGGCCAGTATCTTCCCCAGCTAACCCCAGTCAGACCCACTTGTCATCTGACCGCCCAGTGACTTCTCGTCCTGACCGTCCCACACCACCACCGAGACGCCCCA